AACAACAACAACCACCACCTCTGCCATCTAGCAGACTCTGACGTGCTGTGACCTGCAGGGCAGACTAGTACTGTACCCCAGGGCATCAGCAGCCATGACCCTTATGGAAGCAAATCGCCAGGCCTGTTATCCCACAGGTCAGCTGGGGGGTTTGAACCACTGATCTTTTGGATTACAGTCAACTGGTTAACCACCACCAAGCCCCCAAACCAACTTGTGCAAACTCCCATTTCCCAAATGCAGCAAGCTGTCCACTGCTGCGGCCCCTGTAAAAGATTCCTCATGGGCTTACCGTGTTCATCCAGCAGGATGTTGTCTGGCTTGATGTCTCTGAAAGAGAAAACAAAGAGGTGGGGCTGTGAGTCTAGGGCTGGGCAAGTGCACGTACAATGCTGCATTTGAGGATGAATCCTGACAACGTGTGAGCTTGTGTCTGCCCCGGCCTGGGGTCCTGAGACAGGAACAGCAATCACAGCAGAACACCTCTGCTCTCCTTTCCTTCTGGTTCTTGGGCTGGCGAGGGATGGTTTTGGATATTACCCTCTGAATATTGTTAACAATTTCTGGCCCTTCAACTCCAATTATGACAATCACAAGGAGTAGATTTTGACTCATAGAGACCCACCCCACCAGACGGAATAGAACTGTAGCTTAGGGGCTGCGAGGCTGAAATAGGGATGGGAAGGAGTTCGGGTTCTGTCGTGTGTAGTGTGCTGTGCACTCTGCAGAGGTCCCAGACAGAGGACTTTCCTAAAGCAACTTATCTTTTCATTTCCTGACTGCTGGTGAAGCGCTGGTGGCGTACTGGTAAGGAGCTGCACGGCAATCCCAAAGGTATGCGGTTCAAATACAAGAGATGCTCTATGGGAGAGGGATGGATAATCTCCTCCCGTGTGACTAACTGCCTCTGAAAACCTGCTACAGGGTCACCTATGGGTCGGTTCTGACTCGACAGCACACAACAGTGAAGTGTGTAATATGTAAGACTGCTAAAAGAAGGGCTATAGTCTTTGTAATTACGTGCTATGCCTTAGAGAGTTGGACAGTGAGTAGGGATGACAGAAAGAGAAATGATGCCTTTGAGCTGTGGTGCTGGAGAAGAGTGTTGAATATACCATGGACTGCTAGGAGAACAAATAGGTTTGTTCTGGAGAGAGAGAAGCAAGAGTGCTCCTTGGAGTCAAGGATTCTGAAGATTTGTCTGACATACTTCGGGCATGTTGCAAAGTACTGGTCCTTGAAGAGGGACATCATGTTTGGGAGAGTGGAGGGATGGCGCAGGAGAGGAAGACCCTCGATGAAATGGATCAATTCTGTGATTAGGGTGGTGGGAGTGAGTGTGCTGGAGACAGGGAGGTTGGCACAGGACAGAGCAGGGTTTAGGGTTACATATGGTTGCTATGAGTCGCAAGTGACTCAGTGGCACACAACAACAACAACAACAACAGCAGGGTCACCAGTTCTAACCCCAGTGCTCCACAGCGGAGAGCCAGGTTGTCTGTTTGCTGTGAGATCTAACTGGACAGCCACAGGCTTCGTTTGTGGTTTTTGGCATCTTTCCGTGAGCCAATCCCAGGTGTTCTGCTACTCGGTGGGTTCAAACTACCACCTTTTGCTTAGCAGCCAACCATCTCGTCACTCAACACCAAAACCCTAAACCAAAGCCCATGGCCAAGTCAACTGACACTTCGTACTCACAGGAATCTAAAGAGTGGACTAGAACTTGCTCACCGAGTTTCCAAGGCTTTGAATCTTTGCAGAAATAGATCTCCGCACCTTTCTTCCCAGGAGAGACTGGCAGATTTGAACAGCTGACCTTTTGGCAATGCTAATGTACCGTGCCGTCAAGGCACTTGCTCAGCCCCTGCCTTAAATCCAAGCTTATTCTGAATCATGACTACCATCCGTGGAGCCTCTGAGGTGATAAATCTTTACAGAAAATTGTCTTATCGTTCTTGTGTGGAGTGCCTAGTGGATTCGAACTACTGATCTTCTGAGTAGTAATTCAATACCTATCCCAACCTTAGTGGAAGCCTTTTTTTAAAAATGAATTTTAATGAAAGTGTACAGAAACATAGGGTTTCCAGTCATTCACTGTTGCACTTTTTCTCCCTGCCCACCCCCTGTGCTCTAATTTACTCTTCTCCTTGAAAAGAAAAAGAAAAACTCTTTCACTGATATGTAATCCCTTCCCCCAAGTCAACTAGTGAGTGCCTTTGAAAAGCCAGGGTCTTGGCAAGCTCTGGTGGCCTAGTGGCAAGAAACTGCACTGCAACCCTAGAGGTGTGCTGTTCAAATCTACCAGATGCTTTGCTGAAGAAGGAGGGACAGTCTCCTCCTTTAACAGATCCGATTTGATGATACACACATAAAAAAAAAATAGTAATAAAAATAATTTAAAAAAAGTTTTTTAAGCCAGGGGCTCTGCTTTCTTCACTTCTGCATGCTACGTACCCCACACATGAGTGAAATATCACTGAGAACAGGAAAGAAAGAAAAGGACATGCAATCTTTGCAATACTGCACCGGTGTCTCTATCCCCAACTCCCTCTACACTGACACACTTCCCAGGGCCCTGCACCACGACCAAGGAGTTTAGAAATGCATGCCCCATTCACTTTATTAATAATAAATGCCAAGTCTACTGAGACTAATGACATCTTTCTTCAAAATAAAACACAATGCATCTGACTTTATGAAATATTAATTCTGCCGACAAACACACCGTGGTTATTTGTTGCAGCGTGGTAGTGCAATCGTTTAGATATTTAAGTACATAGAGACTTTATCTTGCTAGGGATTTGTTAAGGGCATGCAAATTCATGAGCACTAAGTGAATGACTCCTCACGGATGAGCCCACAGAACTTCAGTGTTGAACAGAGAGGAACCCTGTGACACAGCAAGGTCGCTGTCGGTGCAAAGCCTGAGGTGGGTGCACCTGCTCCACAACATAGCGTCTGCATTTGGATTGTTGCTTTGCATGCACGTGAAGGTTGGACGACGGATAAGGGTGACTGAAGAACCAATGCCTTTGAACTGTGTTGCTGCTGGTAAGACGGCTGAACATCCCATGGACTGCCCGGAAAGATGGCTGAATAGCCCACAGGCTGCCAATAGACGACGCAAGTCTTGAAGGAGGTGCAACCAGGGTCTCCTTAAAGGCCAAGATGGTGGAGCCTCATCTCCCGTACTTCGGAGATGTTGTCAGGAGGGGCCAATCTTTGGAAAAAGACATCATGCTGGGAAATGCAGAGAGAGAGGCCAGCGAAAGTGAGGAAGACCAAGAGGTGGACTGACCCAGAGACTACAGCAGAGGGCTTGAGCGTATTAGAGTCCGTGACGATGGGGAGAGAAGGTCAAGGTTCTAATCCGTTGGTCATGGGGTCTCTGTGAATCAGAGTTGACTTGACAAAACCTAACAACAACAACCACAGGGCCTCACTTGCTATGCATTAGAGAGCTGAGCAACACATAAGGATGACAGAAGACATCTCAATGCCTTTTTTAAATAATTAATTTCAAAGAACATTTACAGAGATTTTGGATTTCCACTCATTCATTGTTGCTTTTTTCTCACCACCCCACCCCACCCCCAGTTCACTCTTCTCTTTCAGAAGTAAAAGAAAAATTCCTTCATTGGTATACAATCCCCCGCACCCCCCTCCAACCCCCACCCCGAGTATACTCCACTCTGTAACCTTCATTTCAGACTCTTATGATAATCATAATACCCTATAATATATTGCTTTTAAACTGTTCTCTCCCTCATTCGTTTCAATGCAGTAGACATAATTCATCCAGTTTTTCTCATTCTTACCCTAACCCTGATGTCAGCCCCATTCTAAAGCAGTAGCACTATGCAGTGTTTGTCCTTTTGTGGCTGGGATATTTCACTCAGCATTAATGTCCTCCAGGGTCACCCACTATGAATATAAACTCAATGCCTTTGAGTTGCAGTGCTGGAGTGGGCACGGAACACACCATGGACTGCCACAAGAACAAAGAGAGGTGTCTTGGGGAAAGTGCAACCCAGGTGCTCCTTAGAGGCAAAAAAGAGAAAGCTTCGCCTCGCATACTTTGGGCACATTGCCAGAAGAGGTTATTCCTTGGAGAAAGGACAACATGCTTGGGAAGGTGGAAGGTCCACCAAAGGGAAGAAGACCTTCAACAAGATGGACAGACACAGTGACTGCGACAGTGGCCTCAAGTATGTCAGAGGAGGATGGCACAGGGTAGGGCAGCGTAAAGATGTGAGGTTCCCTGGGTCACTATGGGTCATCAATGACTTGATGGCACTAACAGCACTACTCGCAGAAATGGACTGTCATACTTCTCTCCTGCA